TTTTTTTTTTTTTTTGCGGTACACGGGCCTCTCACTATTGTGGCCTCTGCCGTTGCGGAGCACAGGCTACGGACGCACAGGCTCAGCGGCAATGGCTCACGGGCCCAGCCACTCCGCAGCATGTGGGATCCTCCCAGACCGGGACACGAACCCGTGTCCCCTGCATCGGCAGGCGGACTCTCAACCACTGCGCCACCAGGGAAGCCAACAACTTACTTTTAAAAAAACCCATGGGTCAAGAGAGAAATCTCAAAGAAAATGAGAAAATATTATGAACTGACTGAAAATGAAAATACCAAAATTTGTGGGATGCAGTTAAAGTAGTACTTAGAGGAGAATTTACACCTTTAGAGGCTATATGAGAAAAAAGAGAGGTCTGAAATCAATGGTGTAAGCTCCCAATTTAGGAAGGTAGAAAAAGAAGAACAAATTAAAGCCAAACTAAGTAGAAAGAAGGAAATAATAAAGAGGACAAACCAATAAAATAGAAAACAGACAAGAAATTGGGGGAAAGAAAACCAAAAGCCAGTTCGCTGTAATGCTACACACAATCAATAAACATTGAGCTGTGCTGATTAAGACACAAATTATTAATATCACAAATAAGAGAAAGGACACCAGCTCAGCGTCCAGACATTGAAAGAATCATGCAGGAATTCTACAAAAAACTTCATAAACTTGACAGCTTGGATCAGCGTTCAGCAGATTCCCCGTGGGCCAAATCCAGCTTGTTACTGTTTTTATACTTTTATCAAAACAAGCCACGGGGCTTCCCTGGTGGCGCAGTGGTTGAGAGTCCACCTGCTGATGCAGGGGACACGAGTTCGTGCTCCGGTACGGGAAGATCCCACATGCCGCGGAGCGGCTAGGCCCGTGAGCCATGGCCGCTGAGCCTGCGCGTCCAGAGCCTGTGCTCCGCAACGGGAGAGGTCACAACAGTGAGAGGCCCGCGTACCAAAAAAAAAAAAAAAAAAAACAAGCCACACACATCATTTAGGTATCATCTCTGGCTGCTTTTGCAGTCTAACAACAGGGTTGAGTAGCTGCATCTAAGATCATATGACCTACAGAGCCTAAAACACTATCTGATCCTTTACAGAAGAGCTTACTGATTTTTGGATTAGATGAAAGAGACGAATTCCTTGAAGCACACAAATACCAAAACTGATTCAAGAAGAAACAGGAAAATCTGACTAGCCCTGTATCTATTAGAGGTATTGAATTTGTAGTTACAAACATTCCCACAAAGACCTTCAGGTACAGATGGCTTTTCTGGTGAATTCTATCAAACTGTTAAGAAAGCATTAATACCAATCCCACACGAACTTTCCAAAGACTGGGGAGAAGGGAACACGTCCCAATTCATTCTGTAAGCCCAGTATTATCCTGATACCAAAATCAGAGAAAGACATTACAAGTAAAGAAAACTAGGAAGAGACCACACTTTTCTAAAAACTAGCACTGAGCTGACCCATCACATTCTGATGGACAGTTAAAAAGAAACAAACAAGGGCTTCCCTGGTGGCGCAGTGGTTGAGAGTCCGCCTGCCGATGCAGGGGACACGGGTTCGTGCCCCGGTCCGGGAAGATTCCACATGCCACGGAGCAGCTGGGCCCAAGAGCCATGGCCGCTGAGCCTGTGCGTCCGGAGCCTGTGCTCCGCAACGGGAGAGGCCACAACATTGAGAGGCCCGCGTACCAACTAGTACATATCAATAGCTGAAGAACAAGAGATGAAGCAGCCTGGAAACAACATACCATCATACCTGAGCCTGCATTCTCTCATGGCACATGGAGACACAGCTATCTCAATTCCTGCTACCGGAGGCAAAGCCCACCCCCACTGCTCTCTTTTTCACAGCTTGTATGCTGCAGTGAAAAAGTTGTTTGGCCCCTTGGCCTCAACTCCATTCTGACCTGCAAAATGGGATAAAGCTTTGACCACGTCTTTAACGTTCAAAGCTGTGTCACCAGAGCCAAATACCTGGCAACATGGCAGTCACATCACAGGTAAGTCCTTCATGTCTCAACCAGACTCAGGTTTCTATACAATAAAACCTAGCAGTACCAACTTCAAACACTCTCCCCAAGCTCACCGGCATGCAGGACAGTCATGGCCGCAAGCACCTGCAGTGGGCAGTTAAGCGTGACAACTCTGTCGGGAAGGGACCGGCTCAGGAAGTGACTGACTGGGTCAGTAACCAGAGGCTTTGGCTTCTGCGACTGGAGCTGATTCCTTCAATTCCTGAGCATCTGCTGAGTCCTCCTGAAACAGGAGGCCACGTCCGGCAGGCTCCAAAACTCGGAGGGGTCCCCTTTGGAAGACATCAGTGTGCCCCCATCTCACTTGAGGGGCAGACAGAGTTCCCCTGATTCCCCGCGTTATACTGAGCTCCCCCACCTTCAGTGTCTTGCCCAAGAAAGTACGCTACAAAGAGACAGGGGCTTGACATGTGTGGAGGCTCCTGAATCTTTCCATCCAGGACCAAGAAAACCATCGTATGGCCTTCCCAAGGAGCACCCCAGACAAGCAGGAATAGCGGCAGAGATCTCTGGGTGAAGCCCTTTTCCACGCTGACAAACAGAAGTCAGGAGGCTGTTTCGTGTCACTACCTGAAACGTGCTTGTTTATTTTCTCCCTTCCCCACCCGCATGGAAGCTCCGTGAGGGCAGGGGCCTCTCCTTTCTTGGGCTCCCCCGTGTTTCACTGCCTGGCACAAGGCGGACACTTGATCAACATTTGCTGAAGGAGCGGTAGTGAATGACTGTCGGATTCCAGTGTGGAAGGCTGACTACCTAACAGTCTGCGATTAGAAAATGTAGGAAGCTGTCTTGCCTGACTCAAGCTCAGTGTCTGCAAAAAGCTTAGCAGAGACAGCTTTGGAAGTCACGCGTGTTAACCGCGGGGGACGGTGAACTCACAGCTGGCGTACGAGCGGCCGTCATCCTCGCACATCTTGTGCAGCTGCTGGTATTCCTCCTGGGCCAGCTCGAAACGCTGCTGCTTAATCTGGTAGATTTCTTTCTTGGCGTTGAGGGCCTCCTGGGCTACAATTAAATACTCCTTCAGCATCCGTTCCTGCTCCCGCCTCCACTGTTCTCTGGGATCCTCAATCTGGGTAAGCTCTGAAATTGAAAGGGTAAGAACATAAGGGACTTCAAAGTAAAATCTTTACATTGACCAATAATCTGCAGTTATATGACTAGTCGATGAGAAAATTAATTAACTACCAGGAGGTACATTATGGAAGCGTCTATATAACGAACCTCCCAGCGTGCAGATCACCTCCTATTTACACACCCACGCTCGGGACGAGAAGAAAGCTCTGTAGACATGCAACAGCTCCATGGAGGGGAAGACGGTCCAGGCAACTTTTCACACTCTAAGTAAATGTCGGTGGACATGAACCCAAAGGAGGTCATCCCTGGCAAACTAAGACACACGTCCAACCTTCCTCTCCCTGCCTTCTTCAAGCCAGGCTGCTGTGGGCTCTGCTGTCCCCGTGACTGGTTCGCTCCCCTTCTCCCACCTCCCACGCCAGACGACATCCTTCTGCATTCTTCGTGGACTTCCCATAAATCCCCCGTTTTCCGCTCTGGCTCTCTCACTCTAGCAGCTCCCGTAAGGGCTCATGCCCACCTCCAGCTCCTACCTCTCCCCTGAGCGCCCATCCTTTCCTTCCTCCTCCCTCCTAGAGGCATCTCCACCTGGACGAACGCAAAGTAATTCTGAGTCATTCGTCCAAAGCAGAACTCATTCTCACACAGTGCCCTTTCACTACACAAACCAAAGCAAAGCAGAGGAAGCCACGCTGACGAGCGCCTGCATCTCCCGCCTGCCCCTCTGAGTGAGCGCCTTCCTCTGGATCTACCCACTGAGCCAGCCTGGGACTCGCCCTCAGAGGACTCGCGCGCTCCTTTCCCCACGCACAGCACTCCATGGGTCATCCACAACTGGCAATTCCTGCCCCTGTGTATCACGGTGGCCGACGTACGCCTTCTCTCCTTCTCCCCTTACTTCAATCAGACCCTCACGATCTCTCTCCAAAAACACGCAGGCTGCCTGCCTCATCCCACCAAAAGCCATTCTCCGTGCGCTCACCAAAGTGACCTTCCCAACTCTGCCTCCGACTCTCTAACACATGGCCTTTTTTAAAGCACAAGGTTGTAAATTTTAGGTTATCTTTGCCCCATACACACAAGAGCACCTGCTAGGATGTTTCAAGTAAGTCCTTCCTCTTTAAACCCCCTCCCAGCAACATCCCCTACCCAGCTTCACGCTGCTACCCCAGGGCCCCTCCTAGAAAGCCTCTCTGGGCCTTAAAAGCTCCCATGGGGAAATAAAAAACAAAGACAACAAAAACCGGGGTCCTGACCTAGCCCCAGAGTCCAGATTCAGTGGGCCGAGGGGGCACGAACAGAGTCACAGCTGTTATAAGTGCCCGGATGTCTCTGACGTTGATTCAGCCATGAGACTCACCCCGGCCGACAGGCATCGTTCGCACTCTGTCCAGTGCACCCGAGAGTCTTGGGAACCTTGCAGGTGATCCACGAAGGGCCCCTCTGGTCCCTCACGTCACCATCAATCTGCACAGTTCCAACTTAATATTTGACTCCCCAGGTCCTGTGCCTTTAGAGAGCTATAAAGCTGTGCTATCAAGAGTTAGATTCTCAGGAGCAAGTTTTCTGGAATGGGGTCTCTGGCACATGTACTAATTGTTACAATAATAATCTTTTTTGCTCCTGGGAAAAAAAAAGAGTTGGGTTCCCTGAAGGCCTCAGAGGGAGGAGGTGGTATGACCCTGGAGCTGATGTCTTCAGCCACATCCCCCACGGTGCTGGGTCATCCGTTATACTCAAGGGGGCCAGAAGAAAGTCCGTGGTGATTCTTCGGCTTTCGGGTTCATGGCCAAGTCTAGCATGTCATGTTGAATCCTCATGGTGGAGCCTGGGTCTCACTTTCCTGTGTCCCCAGGGCCTCAAGAGTGGCCAGCATACAGAGGTGCTCTGTGACACTTGCTGTGACTCAGCCAGCAGGAGAGCAAGGCACACCAGCGGCAAAGAAGGGGACACAGAGGGAGGAGCAAGCGGGATTTACGAGAGACGAGCCAGAACGGGTCAGTCCTGGGCCTCGGCGGCAGGCAGGCGGCTTCCAAAAACGTTGTGTAAGGCAGATGCTTGTGCCGTTCAGCACTGCCGCCCGAGCCCAGAGAGGCCCACAGCAAGGGGAAGGTGGCCCCAAAGGCCAGACAGCCCGGCCGCATGCAGCCCAGGGGCACCGGGCCAGCCGGGCCAGAGGGAGGGCGGCGGACCCACCCGGAAGCCCTCCTGCCACTGGCATAACCGCCGGGGAGGGCAGCAGGGCCAGGGTGGCACTCAGCCCACTGCCCAATCCCTGGGTGAGAGCCGCAGTCACATGAAGGCTGAGGGTACGGATCGGAAACTCCCCTGCCCCAGGAACCAGCCAGGACGCCTTGCCATTCAGAGTTCCAAACGTTGAACTCCGGAGGCCGCCCGGCAGGTGACAATGCAGGAAATCAGCCCTAAAGGTACCAGCCCGGGTCGATCACACTAAGGGGACAGGAGGAGCCGTGGGACTGAGCGTGGAAGGAGCTTCGTCAGTCACATGCTGGGCACCCCGCCCCCAGCCTCCCCCGCACTCAACAAACTGAAGGACAGAAAGCACAACAAGGGCAACTTCGGATCCCCAGCAGTAATGACGATGACAGAAACACTAGGCAGCTAGAACGAAAAGGGGGGAGTGAAGAAATGTGAATCTGAGAGAGAAATGGGTCCCCAGCTGGTCCCAGATGGAGGAAGGCTGAGGAGGCGGCAGAGAGCAAGGAGGGCGGGGCGCAGAAGGCCCAGAACCAAATGCTGCCCGGGGAAGCAGCGTGTCAGCTCGGCACCACGGACACCCCAGGCGGCTCAGCAGTCCTGGGCACTGCTCGAGGGGGAGCAGCATCCCTGGCCTCCACCCACCAGATGCCGGGAGCACCTCTCCCAGGCATGACCATGAAAAATGCCCCAGACACTACCATGTGCCCCTGGGAAGCAAAACCAGCCCCAGGTGAGAACCACTGCTCCCAACAATTCTACCAAGAAGGCTGGCATGGTCAAGGACCCATTATTTTAGCTGTGGTCTTTACATCATTTTCTCCCTTCACAAAGCTCCAAAATGTTTGGTATATTAAAGCTAAAATCAAAGGGATAAGACAAAATGAAGTTAAGGTAACCACTTGGGCATTTATTGTTCCAAGAACTTGTAAACTTCACTCTGCTAGAAACACCCTTCTCATTTTGAGAGAGATTTCTATTACTAAACTGCCTGGGGAATGTATTCCTTCTTTTAGGTATTCAAACTCTGCATTGCACATGTTCCATGCGGCCCTGAGCAGCGCACAAGCCAGGCGGCCACACAGCTTCTTCACTCTTTGAAGAACTCAGCCAATCAACACTGCCGGGGACACTGACAAAAATCCAGTTTAGTGCCGCATTGGAGAGCAACAATTGTTTCACTCTACAAAAAGAGTTCCTAGCTATCGTGGGATCAATATGAAAATTCATTCATAGGTAACAACTCAAGTGTGGCACTGTACTTACTATTTATGTGGTCCATGTAATAAATTCCAATTTGTTTATCATATACAGTTTCCCATCCTAAAGGAAGTTCATCCCCAACACAGTCGGCAAAGGTCAATGGCTTTGTTATCCTGCAAAATAAAATTATGAAAGCAAATTTGAAAGTGAGGTCAATTTCATGTAAGTTTGCTGAATCGACTCTAGAATTCGGTTTCAATACAAAATTATTATCTAATTGACTGCTTTTGCTCCAACTATTTGGCTGGAAAACTAACTCACTGGCTTTGCCTCACTAATCATCAGTAACAGTATCAGTACACTCACAGTTAAAAGCATTACTATCCCACACTGCAACTTTAAATATCAGCAAAAACAGATACTGACAGTTACAAAACAGGAAAAACAAGCATCTTCTTCCAAGCTGTATGTTTAATGAGGTGATGACAATGGAATGTCGCTCTGCCACAACAACAGGAGAGCACCTATGTTCTCATTCCCTGACAAATGTTCCCCCCTCACAACTTTCAGTTTCTGTAAATTACAGCTTAAATGTATCTAAAATGTATTTGTAAGTTTCATCTACCAGTGGTCATAAGTGAAGGAGTTAAATGTTAACCACTGACCAAAGGCAAAAAGCCAAACAAGCATGGTAACAATACAAGGAGATGCCTACTAAATACTGCCTGTATTCTTTACACAGTAGGAATCAGAAACTGCAAAGGATCCTCCTTGAAGTAAATCTGATCAAGGAAAGCTTGGCTTGACACAGATAGATAAAGGAAAGGTTTTCCAGATGGGTTTAAGCAGAACCTCCCCGGCCCCTACACCCCACCATCACATTGATTGACAAGACAGCTGTGGCATAAAACAAGCTGCCCCTATAATCGTCTGAGTCCAGGCAGCTATGTATTCAGTTGTCTCTATAAATGCACATTGACTGGTATGCATGGGAATCTGATAACCTAAATTTCACTAACTCAGTCTTCCCACATCTCTGTTCCAGTCTCTGGCCCCAGGAAAGTGAGACACCACAACCAACGCCAAGCCCCACAAGACAAGTATGAATTTTGAACATGTTATTTCCCCAAACTGGTTCAACAACAAAGCTCTGTCTCTCCCAGGAGCTTTTAGAAATTGATAAACACTATCAGAACGGCACTGATTGAACTCATCTTCGTTTTAAACAATAGTTTTAAGAAGTCAGAGTCAATATCAAAACAGAAATACATATACAGAAGGTAAAACACACCAGGGAAATCCTCTCAAATACGATGCGCTCAAAACCCCACGACATCACAAGATGAGCCTACTGCATAGTGTTGGTCCCAGCCCCAAACACCAGTGTCCGCAGCACAGTTCCTTTACGGGTCAGAAATGGTGTGGTGGCGGCGTGGTTCCAAGTCAAACAGGTAACGGCAGGTTGTTGTGCGTGACTCAAGTCCTGAATGGGACCAAGCCACAACAAATGCTACCTGAAGATAAACTGCGTCCTGAGCACAACTCTGCTATTCTAGATTCACGCGTAAGCCTAGAGAAAGATGCCCAAGTACGGGCACGTTCTAAGCATCTTGACATACATGATCTCATTTAATAGACAAATATAGGTGGGAAGGGCTTCCCTGGTGGCACCGTGGTTAAGAATCCGCCTGCCGACGCAGGGGACACGGGTTCGAGCCCTAGTCCGGGAAGATCCCACATGCCGCGTAGCCCCTAAGCCCGTGCGCCACAACTGCTGAGCCTGCGCTCTAGAGCCCATGAGCCACAACTACTGAAGACTGTGCACCACAACTACTGAAGCCCATGCGCCTAGAGCCTGTGCTCTCCAACAAGAGAAGCCACGGCAATGAGAAGCCCGCGCACCACAACAGAGTGGCCCCCGCTCACCACAACTAGAGAAAAGCCCCGTGCAGCAATGAAGACCTGACGCAGCTAAAAGTAAAATAAATAAATTAAAAATATGTATAGGGCTTCCCTGGTGGCACAGTGGTTGAGAGTCCGCCTGCCGATGCAGGGGACACGGGTTCGTGCTCCGGTCCGGGAAGATCGCACGTGCTGCGGAGTGGCTGTGCCCGTGAGCCATGGCCGCTGAGCCTGCGTGTCCGGAGCCTGTGCTCCGCAACAGGAGAGGCCACAACAGTGAGAGGCCCACGTACCGCAAAAAAAAAAAAAAAAAAAAAAGTATATATACATATGTGGGAAGCCTGACCTTCTAGCGCTGCTGAGCCCAATTCATTTACTTTACAACTCACAACTGTTATAAAACTATTGCAAGTTCATATTTTCAATTTTCTATCCAATAAACAACGCAAGTAAGTAAAATAACACTTCCATACTCTTTCTTCTAAAAATAAACTGACACGTCTACCATTTTGGTAAATTTTATTTTGGCCTGATATAGAATCCGTATGTCTCTGATTCCACTTCTCTAAAGAGAGCATGGACTTTGCATGATCATCCACAGAATCAGTACTTTGAAGCAAGCAGATGACGAGTCATGCCTCTCGGAGTCCAGCTCGCACCACGAGCAAGGAGAAGTTATCAAGTCCTTGCTGTTCATCTCCTCTGTCCACAGGGCTCACACTTGGAGACCCTTTACTCACTTGACAGCAGTTCGAACAGGCTCAATGAAGAAGTTTTCCAGCTCCCAAAAGACAGAAGACGTAAAACTAGAAGGCAAGGACGGGGGCCCTTGGGCAGGAAGAAGGCAGCAAAGGAAGCAGCTGACAGCGGGAGAAACACCCACTCCCTGGCTTCATCCATCACACCGAGAAACATCTATGCTGCACTTCTGCTTCATCCACCTATTTATCAGGATGACACACCCTCCAGACTTCCAGATAGCTGTAACTTCATTGTATGTAGACAAATTTGGGCATGATTTTCAATAAGAGCATTGAGGATATCTAAATTTATTGTCCTGTCACCCACAGGTATGCCAGTCCAGGCTCTTGAGTTCTCATCTCCCCAAAAACTTGATGCTAGATTTTTCCCAACTCCTTCCTACGATCACCACACACAGACCCCGGGGTAATTTTGTTTCTATTACGCAAAGTTTAGGAAATACACCTAAATAGGAGAGAAATGTCCATGCACACCACCACTCAAAAACAACCATTATTCCTATTTTGATGTGTCTTCCTCCATCTTTTTTCTACATGTTCTCTTTATTCGTCTTTTTCTGACATATTCATGATCATACAGTATACACAATTTTCTCCCCTGCCTTTTCCACTTAAGTTTGTAACATGTTTACTTAATAATTCATACCTTGAGTCTCTCCAAAAATTACTCAAGATGGCCTAACACTATAGCCTAAGTATTCTGTCCCCGCTTGTTATAAATTATTTGTAAACATCACCTGGAACAACTGAATAGATTAAGCTCCTTGAGAACAATTACCCTGTCTCAGCTGCCTTTGAACCCCCAGCACCCGGTCTAAGAATAAATAACTTGCATTTTTACAAACAGTTCATTAAGGGGATTAATATGTTTTACCTAAGTACTCTCCTACTATTGATAGCTACACTATTTCCTAATTTCCACTAGTGTAAATATTCATGAGAGCTGCTTTGGAAAATAGTTCAGCAATTTCTCAAATATATAGTTAAACACAGTTTCCATATGGGTCAGTAATTCTACACCCAGGTGTACACCTAAGAGAAACGAAAACATATGTCCACAGCAGCATTATTCGCCATAGCCAAAAGGTGAAAACTAAGGGCCATCAACTGATGAATGGACAAATAAAACATGGTCTATCCAGACAATGGAATATTACTCAGCCATAAAAAAAGAATGAAGTACTGGCACATGCTACAGTATGGATGGACCTTGAAGTCACTGTGCCAGGTGACAAAAGCCAGACATAGTGGCTACATGTTGTATGCATCCATCTACAAGAAATGTCCAGACCAGGCAAATTCATAGAGACAGAGGGTAGATCAGTGGTTGTCAGGGGTTGGAGATAAAGAGAGAATGGGGAGTGATTGCTAAGGGGTTAGCCTTCCTTTAGGGGGTGATAAAAATGTTCTGGAATTAGATAGTGGATGATGGCTGCACAACTTAGTGAGTATACTAAAAACTAGTAAACAGCATGCTTTAAATGGTGACTTTTATAGTATATGTGAATTACATCTCAATTTAAAAAACTATGATGAGGGCTTCCCTGGTGGCGCAGTGCTTGAGAGTCCGCCTGCCGATGCAGGAGACGCGGGTTCGTGCCCCGTTTCGGGAGGATCCCGCATGCCGCGGAGCGGCTGGGCCCGTGAGCCGTGGCCGCTGAGCCTGCGCGTCCGGAGCCTGTGCTCCGCAAATGGGAGAGGCCACAACAGTGAGAGGCCCGCATAACGCAAGAAAAAAAAAAAAAAAAAACTATGATGAAAGGAACATCTCTGTGCATATAGCTCGTAATCTGTATTTACAATTATTTTCTTTGAAAGATTCCCAGAAGTAAATTTATGGGGTTGAAGGATATGAAGGTCTTTTCTCCTTACTGTGAAGTCAACGTAAAAAATTCGTACAGTAAAGTATAAAGCATAGGAAATAAAATCACCTATAATCCAGAAGCCCTGGATTCATGGTTTAGCTTATTTTCCTACATTTTTCCACAGCCGATATCATACTAGATACAATTTCACACACTAATTTTTTTCATTTGTGTATTTCCTCATGTCCTTTAAGTCTCTGTCACCATCGCTTTCCATCATTTTAGAACCTTCCGTCATATGCAGTAAACCATAACTTTTTTACCAGGCACACCTCAAGTCATCTATTTAGGTATGTTCCAATTTTCTGCTCTTTCTTGGAAATCATGGACATGAGCTCACGCCAAACACCTGATGTATACTGCCAAGGTGCTTGAGCATCAGCATACACTCCTACCAGTGAAGTGAAAGATGGCCTTTCTCATCACCCTCTAGGGATATCTTGAATGCATTTGTTCAAGGGCTCGGGACAAATCTGGATGGCACGACCGTGCTTCACTTTCAAAGAACAAGCAGGTAGGGAGTGCAGCGTAAGCTCCCCGGCATCTTCAGGCTGTGGGGGAAGTGTGCGATGAGCTCAGAAGCCGGGCACCAGTGTCCTCCCACAGCAAAGTCCACTCTGCAGTGGGACATGAAGGCCCCCACGC